GTGGTTCATCCCAACAATCAGGAAATGGAGCAAAGCTGGCAGGAGATCTGTATGGATGAGCAAGGAGGTCCTGACTAAACTCTGATGTAAGGAAGGCTGATGCACTCGATGCCTTCTTGTGGTCAGACCAGCCTTCAGGAATCCCAGTTTCCTGAGGCCAGAGGGAAAGTCTGGCACGAGGATGACTTACTCTTGGTAGAGGAGGATCAGGATGGGGAACATCTAAACAAACTGGATGTAAGTCCATGGGACCTGGTGGGTGTTGCACCCATGAGTGCTGAGGGAGCTGGCTGACATCATTGCGAGGCCACTCTCGGTTATCTTTGAAAGATCATGATGATTAGGAGAGGTTCCTGAAGACTGGAAGAAAGCTAATGTCATGTCCATCATCAGAAGGAGCAAGAAGGAAGATCCAGGGAACTATAGGCCAATCAACCTCACATCAATTCCTGGAAGATGATGTCTCTTTGTGGTTTTTTTTCTTCTCTATGCCTACTTGGACTCTGCATGGCCTTTGTAGGAGCTTTTGGTGAGGGATGTTGCTCAAGCCATTTGGGAGTCCAGGCAGACTGGCTTAGCTCAGTCTCCCCTTTCTGAATGCTTGTTGACTTTTCAAATGCTTGTTCATGTGCTTGTCCACAGCTTCCCTTTAAAAAAGCCATAGTGAATGACTTTATTTTCCTCCATTCTGTTCCGCTTATACACATACCCACTACTTCTTTTTTTTTGTCTAGGGGATCTGTCGTGAGTACCTGCTCCCTGGTTGACTGAGCAAGTACAGTAGGCTGTGAAACTTATTTTGCACAAGTTATATTGGTTCTTCCTCAGTATGACTCTTACTCGTGTAACCTATAATTCTGTTCTTCAGGTTAATGTGTACTGTACTGCCATGGACTTCAGAGTTTAATGACAGGCAGTTTCTGTTTTAGAAAGTTGTATGGCATGAGCCATTTTCTAATTCTCTAGTACAAAGTGAACTCTAAATGACAGATTAAATAACACACTGATTGATTTATTTTGAAAAGTGGGCTTTGGAAAGCTGTTAATACTTTCTAAATGTGATGGTTTGTTACTGCTTGTTTTGTTGATCTGTTCTATGATACTTTCAACTGATGCTTAAGTGCAGAAATCTCGTAAAGATTTCAATAGTGCAAATAAGTAAAAACACCCCAAAAGGTATGTTTTCACTGCATTTTTTTTAGGTGGTTCTTCTGCATGAACTGATCAACTTGAGGCCATAGACTCTCATGTATGCTTTTCATGAAGAGAGAAGGAGTAATTACTTTCTACACCATTCATGAGTTGTTTTTCAAACGTCATTTTTTGGCTTGCCATGTTGTATTGTAATTAACAGAAGTCATGATCAATTTTATTTTTCTCATCTGTATGTGACTTCAGATTTTTGAGAAATGCTTTATTATATCTCATATCCTCCTTGTTCGGATCATCTTAAAATGTCTTGTATATATGGTCTTTTTAGCTTACGACAATATCTTCGTACATATCTTGCTTTCTGGAAAGATTTTATTCTTAACTGCTTTTTTCACTTATACCTCAGCGTTCCCTCGTTGCTGTGCTGAAACAATTGCAATAGTTATAGATTTTTTTTTTTCTTCTCTTGCTTCTGCAAGGTGCTGAAACCAAGTCAACTGAGGTTCTTGACAGTACCTTGGCAAATCTGCTGCTATGTGCTGCTGAGAACCAGGTGAAGAGTTGCTTTTTCTCTTGTGGCTTCTTGGATTTAGCCACTCCATGGTACTCACGACTAGTGTGTGAAAATATAGCTCAGGTATCACCTCTTGGATTATAGCTTGGACTAATTGAAGCTTGTTAGCATTACTGCATTTTCTGCCTCTCTGATCTGTAATGTCCCTGTTTTCCTTTGCAGCTTGTGGTCAATAATCACTGTGTAAATTGATGTTTCTGTATTCTGAATGCTGCTTGCAGTTCTCTTAACCTATTTTAAAACATCTAGATCCTGGAAAGTGTGTAAGGAAAAGGTGACAAAGAGCAGAGCAGCAGAATAACTTCTGACCAGGAGCAAATCTGGAAAAGAGATGAGAAGAAACCTGAGGTCTCTTAAGTCACAAGTCCAAACAAAGAGATTTGTCTAGGAAGAAAATGTTCAGCATTTCTCAGCACAAGAACTAAAAGCATGAAATTAAATTATCAAGTAGTAGGTCTTAATCCACCAGTTGTACTTGTATGATGCTCTCTGTGGAAACCAAAAGCTAAAGAGATTTACAAAAGGATTAGACAGTTTAACAGTATTTGGTTACTGGTTTTTGGTACCTGGAAGCAATTTTTGGCTCAGATTTTTTTTTTTTTAGAAACTGGGAGTATATGTGAATGAAGAATCATTGTATGTTTGCCTCATTCTTTATACCTTTTCCCTTCAGCGTTTGCTACCAGCTGCTCTTGATCACCTGCTTACACTGGAATGATTGGCATAGATACAAAGTCATCCTTGAAGCCTTCCTCACATGTGGAGAGCAGGATACAATGGGTTGTGGTAGCCCAACCAAAATTATGAAAAACAACAAATGAAGGAAGGAATTTGGATTGATAAAATCTATTGATAGGAGATAACCCACCTGATGACATCTTCCATTTTTTGTGATCTCTTGCATCCAGTATTCTTTGGGAGTGTTCAAGGACAGGTAGACACTGTTTGGTGGCACTTTGCTTAGAAGTATGATGAGACAAAGAACCACAAATGGGCTTCACAGTTGCCAGATTCATTTGTTTGACTTCTTCTCTTGTTGCTGTGGATACTGGTGGCTGTTCCTGTTGACTTTTTTTTCCCCAGAAGGGGCATGTGAGGCTTAACCTAGGATAAACCTAGCCTTGGTTTAACATCACCTGTTTAAGAATGTCTGAAAGCTACTAGAGATCAGACTGAGTAGCACATGTAAAGTGATTAAGGGAGTGGGCAGAAGAGTGTCTGTAGAGCCAAAACAAAGCAAAATCATAAGTGCACACTAAACAGAGGCACTTCTGGGACTGTACTTCTCTGGAGATTTTTAGAGAGTCAGTAGACTATGTTGAGTTCCTTCCACTAGAACAGAGTTCAGTGCTGGGGTAGAAGGGTGCTTTCAATGAATAACCCTCTTGGGCTAGAAGTGTTGTCAAGTGTGTAATATCTGGCTAGTTCAGCTGAGCTGGCATTACTTTCCCTTAAGCCTACTGCTGCATTTGGTTCTCTCTTCTCTGCTTGACCAGTGCTGAACATAAACAAGACATTATTTTTTATTGTCTAGAAGGACCATCTTGAACTGTCCTCCAGTTCAGTTTATCATCTAAAACTTTTATTAATGTTACCATGTATCCGTATTCTCTTTGCATCTTGTGGTTGGAGTTCTGGCAAGGGTTGGTTTTTGTGTGGTACTTGTTGTTTCCCCCCCCAGTGATTGAAGGTGTTACTGCTCCCAGCTGTCTGCTGCCTCCCTGTGCTGGAAGCTGCAATGTGTCCTTATGTCTCAGTTATTTCCGTCTACTCCGTGCCTTAGCTTAAAATTCTAGTGAAAGTCACTTTTTGACTAACACTTTGGACTGTGAATTAGACCTGTGTGTTTCCTTCTTATGCTTGTTACTGGAATAAGAGCAGAGAAGAGGTTAACATGCTGCAGGAGAAAAATACATACTAGGTTACCGCAAGTGGTTATGCTGTGAATGAATCAGTCCTTTCTAAATAAGCAGCCCAGTGTCTGGTTCTCTTTTTACCAACAGGTTTTGTAAATGGCTTTCATCGTGCAATTTTTAGCTCCATCTAGCTATATTCCCTTTACACAGGAATTACATTAAGTGATTATTCTCTGTTCAGAATATTGTTGTTTGGGTGGTGTTAAGCTCTGTAATGCCTCAAAAGCATAAGTTATTTCCTGCCTTGTAAGTATCACACCAGCAACACCTCTTTGTGACAGTATTCACAAAAACCTAGGGAAAAAGGCTTTCTTCCTTTGTATCTTCACATGCAATTCCAGCTTATGCCCTGGAGTACAGCGAAGGGATTTGTCCTTGTGTCCTGCACTGTGATTTAGTGTGTGTCTCTGAACCTACAGCAGCACAGCCCCAAGTTATTGGTAGATGTCCCAGGGCAAGGGGTTTTTTTGCATATTTAAGAGTCAAAGGGCAGATGGTCTAAAGAAGAGCCAGGATTAGAGGAGGAGTGCTGTAAATCCTGTACTTGATGGTGCAGAATCAGTGCTTGGCCTTTGGGCAATTGTATTTTATATGGGGAAACAAAAACCAAACAACCAAACATCCAAAGCTTAAGTTGAATAAAGCTTGAAAGAATTAATTCTTTTAAAAAAAGAAGTAAGATTGCATGGATAGACAACCAAGTCCTTTCTGGTATGTGGTATGCTTGTAAACTAAGGCTTCTCAGCCCTCATACTATCATATTTTAGTTAATTTCAGAAGTTTTATGAGAATAAAGTCTATCAGGAACTTAATTATATCCTGACTGCTTTTAATCAGTCTTCTGAAGACCAGATGGGTGAGTCTGTCATTGGTTCAACTCTGATGTTGATGATGATAGGCACTCCTAGGAATAGCATAGTTTGCTTTCTTGTTTCTACATTTTATGCTTTGTTATGAAATTTCTGTTCCTAAAGTCGGTACATTCTGCTTTTGGCACTTCTCATTCCCTGATTGCTCTGTTTCTGAATTTCCATTAGTAATAGTTGTTCTGGTATCCTTTCATAAAAGCAGTAGCAGCAATTTTAGCTATCTGATATACCTTTCAATAATCTTCCATGGTATGTTTTGTTATGTCCCACTGGGAATAAAAATTAAATCTTGTCTTTGGGACTAGATCACATATAATTGTAGGTGCGTATTAATTGACAATGTTCAATATAGAATGCTTTTAAACAGAAATCATATCGTATGCCCTTTTTTCAAAGAAAGCTATGTGAAGCCTAGTGCTGTGTTTCAGTTCTTTGATAGATAGTCTTTGAGATGTTCTCATACCTGAATACTTTTTTATCCTTAGGTGAGTGGAATCAAGAGTCTCTATGAGTCTGAACTTGCTGATGCTCGAAGAGTTCTGGATGAAACCGCCAAAGAGAGGGCTAGATTACAGATTGAAATAGGAAAACTGAGGGCGGAACTGGAGGAGTTCAATAAAAGGTAAGGAAAGTCCTGTATTTATTTATTGTAATTACAATGGACAATATTTGCAGTGTGGGGAATGATACTGTTCATGCTTCTTAAAATGCCTTGGTGGGTGTCTTTTGGAAGCATTGCAGATCAATGAGAAGACACAGGCTTGTCAGAAGGAAATTCCTTAGCTTGTTGCTACAGCTAGTCAGAGAAGATAATCCAACCAGTATTTGCACAAATGTATTTGTAGATATAAGATTAGTATACTCTGATTTTAGCAATTCAGGCATCTAGAGGCTGTAACAATCGGTTGTACTGCTTCTGTCCTACTGTACCTCTTGTTATGTGAGCATGCATATGTGCAACTGCTTGATAAACTGGATTGAGAAACTGATCTAGATTAAAATTGACTCATCAAACAGAAATGGCCTAATAAACTGGCTACTGAAGCCAAATGTAATCCATTATTTCTATTCCTCCTAGGGAGTTTTTACAATGAAATACTGTTTAGGAGTTGAAACTTCATTTCAGAATGAATATATGTGGTGGCAAAATTATTTTTTTTTTGCTTGTGATTGAGTTTTGGTACCTATTTTAGTAGGTAAGATTTGGGAGTTACAGATTTTTCCTGAGCGTGTCAGTGTGTACATCACCTGTGTATGAACATCGTTGGCCATAAAATTGCTTTTAATCCAGGAGTGCCAATACAGGCCTACTGTAAGTCTTCCATCTCACTTCATTTGCATCTAAGTGGTTGTAAAAGGAATAAAGTGTTTCGTTCCCTTGTGTTTTTTCTGACTAGCTAATTGATTTATAATGAAGTATTTTTGTTTTCTCTGTAAAGTTTGCTCTATCACTGGATCTTCATTTTTCTGTGCTGGGCCTTCTTGTTAAAGTCCGCCATTGGAGATTTTTTGTGGACTTTGCCCTTAAAAATAACTGTCCAAATATGAAATAACTAATTTGACTAAGTCACTGTAAAGGCTATTGAACTTGGTGCACAGATCATACCAGAGGATATGCCTGCATGTGGTCAGATGACCTGTGTGCTAAAATTTACGGACTCAGTTAGCTAGGCCTTTGTTAAACATAAAAAAAACCCTATGGTAACTAGGTCAGATGTAAACCCCTGAAGTTAGGTGAGAGGACTACCACCCAGCCCTGCTGTGATGTTCTGTTGGCGCTGATTTCTCTTTTAGAAGCCTTAGGCTAGCAGTCTTGGCACTTATTTCAGACGATACATTTTGCAAGGCACTTGGCATTACACGGCCATCAAAGTTGTCTCGTCTCTGTGATAGCAAATACTTCCCTTGCTTAACTTTAAAGCAAGCTCCAAAAGAGAGCAGCAGTAGTAACTGGGAATTTGGTTCATCTCTCCTGTTCTGCAAGATGCTTATTTGTGTATTTTGATTAAGGTATCCTTGTCAGAAGTATCTTCACTTGGCAGCTAATGAGAATCAGTGACAATTGATTCTGGTTCTTTAGCCTTTTGATAGTGCTGAGAGGTTTTACTAATAACTTGTACAATGTCGTGCACTTAAAGTGATGGAGATGGTGTTTTCCCTTGGATCATCTCCCTTGCCCTTTCTTTTGACAATTGAGTTACCCCTTACCAGTCACTTCAGTAACTGATTAACTCTGCCAGACTAATTTCAAACTTCTCTCTTTTTTTTGTTTTCTGAGGTAGACTAAATATGAGGAAAATATACCTGGTTTTCTATTTTTCTCTCTGTTCTTACAGTTCATAGGAGTAGAATTGAATTCTTCCTTGGCTTGAAAGTTCCTTCTATCAGATTACAGGCATCCAGAGGGACTGGAAGCAATGTACTTGGAGTGTTCTCAGGGTGCCTACCTTGGGTCACATGGAAGGTTATACTTGTGACATGGCCAGATTTTAAATGTGATTCTTGCAAATGCGCCTTTTAAGAGCCTGTTGGCGCAGTGTCCGCTTGACACCTAGCTCATGACTGCAGTCTTCCTTGCCCATGCTGATGGTCAGATGGTGCTTCTCACAGGCCAAGCTTGCTTCGGTGCTTTGAGAACTGTGTATAGTGGAAGAGTAGGTTCATGTATGATTTTTATGTTCGCTACGATTACCTTGTAATTCCAGAGCTGGACACAGTACTGCAAGGTGGGGGGAGTCTCGCAAGAATGGAGTAGGTGGAGAGAATTCCCTCCCTTGGCCTGCTTGTCACACTGCTTTTGATGCAGCCCAGGATACATTTGGCTTACTGGGCTGTGAGTGCACACTGCCAGCTCATGTCCAGCTCTTCATCCACCAGTACTCCGAAGTCCTCTGCAGGGCTGCTCTCAATCCTTTCATCCCACCAGCCTGTATTGATACTGGGAGTTGCTCTGAACCCATGTGCAGGACCTTGCAGTTGGCAGTGTTGAACCTCATGAGGTTCATTCACATGGGCCCACATCTCTAGTTTGTCCAGGTCCCTCTGAATGGGATCCTGTCCCTTGGGAGTGTCAATCACACCACTCAGCTTGGTGTCATCTGCAAGCTTACTGAGGACGCACTCAATCCCACTGTTTGTGTCACTGATGAAGATATTAAACAGTACCTGCCCCAGCAGGGACCCTTGAGGGACACCACTCATCACTGATCTCCATGTGGACATTGGTCTGTTGACCTCTACAGTCTGGATGCGACCATCCAACCAATTTCTCATCCACTGAGTAGTACATCCATCAAATCCATCTATCTCCAATTTAGAGAGAAGGATGTTGTGGGGGACCATGTCAAAGGCCTTACAGAAGTCCAGACAGATGACATCCATAGCTCTTCCCTTGTCCGTTGATGTAGTTGTTCCATCATAGAAGGCCACTAAGTTGGTCAGGCAAGACTTGCCCTTGGTGAAGCCATGCTGGCTGTCTCAAATCACCTCCCTGTCCTCCATGTGTCTTAGCATAGCTTCTAGGAGGATCTGTTCCATGATCTTTGCAGGCACAGAGGTGAGGCTGACAGGTTGGTAGTTCCCAGGGTCCTTCTTTGTACCCTTATTTTTAAAAATGAGTGCAATGTTTTTCTAGGCACTGGGGACTTCACCTGACTGCCATGACTTTTCAAATACGGAGAGTGGCTTGGCAACTAAATCAGCCAGTTCCGTCAGCCCTCTGGGATGCATCTTGTCAGGTCCCATAGACTTATGTATGTTCAGGTTCTTAAGGTGGTCATGAACCTGATCTTTTCTTACAGTGGGAGGGGCTTCACCTTGTGTTGATGACCAACAGGTCCAGTATTGCATCCCTCTGGTAGGGCTGTCTATTACCTGGCTTAAGAAGTTATCCCCCATGCATTCCAGGAGTCTTCTGCATTGCCTACAGCTTGCTGTGCTACTTTTCCAGCAGATGTCGAGGTGGTTGAAGTCACCCAGCAGGATAAGAGCCTGTGAGAGCGATGCCTGCTATAGCTGAAGTAAGAAGTCTTCGTCAACAGGTTCCCCCTGATCTGGTGGTCCGTAGTAAATGCCAACCACAAAGTTCCCTGTGCTTCAGCCTCTAATTCTTACCCATAAGCTTTCAACCTGCTTGTGGCTATTTTTCAGAGAGTGCTCTTCACAATCTAACCATTTCTTGATGTGGAGGGCAACCCCTCCACCCCTCCTTCCTTGCCTGTCCCTTCTGAACAGTCTGCAGCCATCAATAGCTGCACTCCAGTCATGGGATTCATCCCACCAAGTTTCAGTAATGGCAACTAGGTCATAGCTTTCTAGCAGCATGGTGGCTTCCAACTCCTCCTGTTTGCCCATGCTGCGTGCATTGGTGTAGAGGCACTTCAGCTGGGCTGTCAGCTGTGTCACCTTTTTAAGGTGTGTTCTTCTAATTAGTTTGAGGTGTTTCACTG